AGGACTATATATGCATTTAATATATCTTTTGCATGTTATTTACCTGTAAAAGCCTCCCTTGTGTAGACATCCAAAAGGCCCCACACTGCTGCTGGGTGCTGCCATTTTGAATATGATGTTAGCAGATCCAGCAGACTCAGAGCTGTCACTTAAAGCAGAATTATACTCACCTCCACTCCAATGGTGCAATGTCCATGAGCTCCCTTGCCAATACCGACATCTTCACCTGGTCTTCTTCCAAGTTGGGGATCTTCAGCCATGGCAGCCACTCAGCTTCTCTCTTCAGTTTGTTCAGTTAAGCTTTAAAAGAGAGAAACTGATTGGGCAACAGCTCCAGGTTTTGTCTGCTCCAGTTTTTTATGAATTCCTCTCATTTTATTTCTCTCCTGCAAAAAAAAAAAAAAGCCTGCCTGGTAACCATTTTAAATGTTTAAATTTCCATTTTTAATTAAAAGTTCCACTTCAGGTGACACTCTTTAGTATTCCCCTTTGCTCTTTCCCCAGAAGCTTAAATAGGTTATATAGGAAGGGAAGGGGAATGGTATGGATGCTGGGCCAGCACAGGCAGTAATTAGACACTCCCAGGAGATGAAAGGGCTATGACATACAAGGAGGAAAAAACGCCTGTTTTACCAGCGGCGTTTGGGGTGCCATTAACAAGTAATAGCACCGCAAACCCGCTGCAGGTTTTTGACCCTTAGTGTTGCTCTCACCTCCTATCAGCCTGTTTCCTATCAGTACACATGCATGCTAATGGGCCCTTAGTGCGGCAACTCCCTCTCTCCGTGCTGCTGTACACAAGGTAGCAGAAAGTTGATATCACAATAGATTTAGGTACTTATGCTAGTTATAGGTAAAAATGCATTTCATGCAAAGAAGAACTTCACATATGCAAAAAGTTAATCCTTGCAGTGGGGCTACTCCAAGGGTTAACTGCTCGCTTTTCTTTAGGGGCCTGCATTCAGAAGATATACTCACCTGATCCTCAGTCCTCTGACAGAGACGGCTCTCCGCTCTCGTCCTCCACTCGGGCTGCGGTATGTCCCTTGACGTCCTCACGTCTAAGGCCCCATTCACACTAAGCGACACTTACCTCGAGCGGATCCGCACGACCGGGATAGCGCGACTGTTTCGGGCGACGTTCCAGTCGGGCTGCATGCAAAAATAGAAAAATTACGCAACATGCGCGGGAAAAGGGTCCCGCACAAGCGACATGCGACCGCCACGAGCGACGAGCAACATGGAGCTGTTCAATAGAACAGCTCCATTGAATATCCTTAGACGGCGACTTGTCGCAATATCACGCGGCAAATTTGCGCAATATGGCGGCGGAAATCACGTGATTAAACGCCCAGTGTGAATGGGCACTAATGCAAGTGAATGGACTGCTTTAGACATGATGACATCTGCGGGGCTTAGACCGCCAGAGCCCGGGGGGGGGGGGGGACTGAGAATCAGGTGAATATATATTTTAATTGAGCCCCTAGAGTTAACCCTTGCAGTAAGGGAGTAGCCCCACTGCAAGAGTTAACTTTTTACATTCCTCTTTAAGAAAAAAAAGAATGTGATAAATGACTTTTTTTTATATCTGACTGCAATTCGACCTTAAGACAAAACATTGATAAAAATAAGGGATATATTGTAAAATAGTAAAACGATTGTTCACCTTAAAGCCTGTAATGTCTACAGCAAAAATATAGAGTGGATATTGAATGTTGTGTTTGGTGGTTGACTGCTGTGGAAAAAAAACAAAAACTGCAGACTCAGCATTCTTTAACCTGTAAGAACTTCCCAGGATTACTGTGTAACTGCCTAATATGTTTGATAGGCAGAGCATGAACAGAGCAGAACCTTTAAACTCGCCCTTAAATCATTTATTTGCTGACTCTTATTGTACCGACTGGATAATCAGCGGAACCCCCGGTGGTGACAAATGTTTGTCTGAAGGACTTTATTGTAATCACTCGAAGTTTAGTTTGACTAATCCTCTTTTTATACCAAAACATAATGACAGGATCCCTTCTTGACCTCTATTGTTTTGATTGAGTTGTCAGAAAGCAGAGCGTGCATTTAAAGGGCCATTAACATAAAAACCCTTCAATTGTTTCACGGAAGGCAAAAGACTGTTAATGGTTCCATACAGCTGCAGATGTACAAGTGATGACATCTCGTCCATTTTATAAACGTCATCTTTTAGCACATTTTTTGGTAGAAATGTATTAAAACGGAGCTATCACTTTAAAATGATTATGTTGCTAAGTACATGGAACTGTAAGGAGATAAAAGATGCATTAAATACCTTGGGCCTTTTGTGGCATTGTTGTCTGTGTCCTTGAAGCCATCAATCTCCGTCCTGTCCTGTGAAGTGTTTTAAAGCTATAAAGCTAAACCATGACCAGTAATACAAATTGATTGCTGGTGAGTGAGAGATAAGAGCATTGTGAATGAGGTCTTGTTTCTGCTAAGCTTTAAAAAGAAATTCCACCTTTTAAAAAAATAAAAATAAATGCAGACTTATTCATAAAAGTAAAAATGGGCATTTATTATTTTTTGCGTTGGAGCCAGCAAAGCATTGCAACCGCCATCAGTTGATCACGAGTGCAATGCTCTGGATCCTGCTCTGGATCCTGCTCTGGATATCTTCCTCTTGTCTATATCCATACTGAGGTTCGGACATTCAGTAACAGGGGTAACTGGGTGTAAGTGGATGCATGTCCATTGCTTTTGTGTTTCATGTTACATCTTATAATCATCCATCGAAATAACATGAAACATGGTCAGAGAGATAAACTTACCCTTTAAGAAAGAACAAAGGCGGGCCATATACTGGCAGCTTTTTCTCAGTTAGCCCATTGGGCCGAACGTAAAAAAAAAGCCCCACCCACGCTAAACAACGTGGATTGCTGAATTCCACCTTTCCCCACACACACACACACACACACACACACACACCATATTATGAAAGCGTCAAACTGATTGGCTACAGTCAGTGTTTGAATTTTTGGACAAATGTGGATTAAAAAATTGCCTTGTCCAACAAAAGGAGGCCGTGGTCAAAAATGTCCCCAATGTATGGCCAAGTTAAGAACTGACACTGCTATGCTACAACTTTCCACCTACTAAAGGAAGGATTAACATTTTGGCAGGAGGTGCTGCGATTATCTTTTAACCAAAAAGAGGTTGAGAAAGCTGGCGGCATAACACTTAAACCTGACCTTCAAGGATTGGTTAACTACCATGGGTTGTGGTGTGCTGCATCGGAAAAAATAAAGGTAGGTAAGGGCCGCACTGCTTACCCAATGCCCCTAAAAGATGGGTGCAGAAGTGACTGCGGATGGCGCGGCACTTCACAATGTATATTAGCAATGTCACCAGCACACCAATGGATAGTGTTCAAAAATAAAGCGTCTTTTATTCACTCATATTTGTCACATCAAAAATTGCAACATTTCGGGGTCCACGCAGGGTCTCCTTCATCAGTCTTAACATGACCCTGCGTGGCCCCAAAACGTTGCATTTTTTGATGTGACAAATATGCGTGAATAAAAGACATTTTAAAACAAAAACTATCCACTGATGTGCTGGTGACATTTCCGATATGCATCGGAACAAATGTGGCATATCTGATTTGCGGTCTGCTTGAGGTGCTGCATGGGAAAAAAAATGGTGCTTGTCTGATTTTTGGTGAGTTGTAGTGCATTGGCTGCCCATTCATTCGAATGCTAGCAAACATGTTAAGAAAAGCAATATAAAATACTAAAAAAATCTCTACCTACCAAAAAAATATCAAAATCACTACCTGCAAGCCAATTTATTTTATGAAAGTTAAGTTGTTTTAAAACATATCTAAACCCCAAATCAACCAGTCCTTAGATGACGTGGCTGTATTCGTTTTAATTTTTCAGGCTGGTGATCTTGCAAATACAACACATAAAACATGGACTAACTCTCCCTGGGTGGCTATGTTCACTCCTCCACTGTATCTATGGTGGAAACCATGGTTGTCACACATGCTGGACCGCTTACATGTCTACCTTTGTTCATCCCTATTGCATGGGTGACGGGGAGATTAGCAATCTACAGAAGAAAGATAACATTACTTTGTACTTCTAGGTCAGCTCACAGAAAGTGACAAGAACATGGCAATTCTGACAAGATCGACAGGTATTTTCTATACTTGCTGAAAATCTTCTTAGTCTGAACAAAGAAAATGAATGCAGCTACTATATCTAAGGACTAGTAAGCTATATTATATTGAAATTTTATTCTTGGGGTTGGTTATTCTTTAAGGGTTAGAGTCAAGATAAATGTTACTTTTCAGAAGTAGATTTTAATTATTGGGTTACGTTTTAGGGCTCCGATGAGGTTAGGGTTTCGTTTTACAATAGGCCTATGGGCTCAGTTAAAGGGGAACTATGAGATGAGTGCTTTAGACTCATCCTCATAGTTTTAGACGACCTGTGACAATGAAACTGTCACAGGTCGGCTCAGTAGATCGAGAAGTGAGCAAAACATACCGGCGTTCGCTCACTTCTCAATCCGGTCACGGCAGAGAGCCATGACAGGAGAGTGACTGGATTCCCCCCTCCCTGCTCTGATCCTCCAGCGCTGGCTGGCGGAACGGACGGGGGAGGGTGCTGGTACAGACAGCTCTGCCTCTAGATAGGAAGAGCCAGCTGTCACTCACGCAGACATAATTGTCGGGATCCGTTTCAGTTGTGGCGTCTCAGTATACCGGGAGCTGTAGCTTGCGGTATACTGAGCTTAGGGTGACGGGAGGACGCTAGTTCTCCTTTAAGGTTATAGCTTAGGAGAACAATTGTTGCTTCAAACACTAAAAGTCAAGTTCCAGGTTCTGGGCACTAAAAGCAACACATTGGGTTGACTGGTCTCTGTTCACATTGGTTCTACAATATGTTTACATTAGATTGTGTAATATGTACATCTAAATGAGAAATATACAAATGAGGATGACAATAGTCTTTGTGCTCTCCCCTCAGATTATGTTTTTGTGACTCCCATGGAAGTGGACCCTAATGGAGCTTACATCTCACACGATATCGTGCACAGCAGTAGGAAGAAGAGATCTACACGGAGTTCAAAGGCTTCTTCCCTGCATTACAGAATTTCAGCATTTGGACAGGAACTACACTTGGAGCTGCAGCCGTCCTCTCTGCTGTCTGGAGAATTTGCTGTACAAGTTCTGGGTAAAGATGGATACCTAACAGATGTGGAACACAGTGTAGAACCATGTTTCTATCAGGGATTTATCAGGGATTATGAGAACTCCTCCGTGGCCATTTCTACATGTGTGGGCATGGTAAGTAATTTTAAACACCAGTACCTGTTTTCTTCTGTCAAGGAGGACTAACTTCAACCACGTGACCATTTGTTAAAAAGTGTTATTTTGAAGATATTCTTGACCATGCATTTGCTTTATTTTTCCCACATGGCATTGCTTTTAAAGGTACACTTCCGGAATTGAACAATAAAAATTGAGAGGCATATAGGGAGTGCAGAATGTCTGCTTGGCACCTGCGTTTTTTTCAACCAGGAATTTCCGCAATTCTCCAGTGCACCCCACTCCCTGTTGTTGGTAAGGTCTGAGAACCCATTGCTTGTGATACTGTGGGTGAATTCCTAAACACACCCACTGTAGTTATTTCACAGTCTCTCCCATACAAAAATGAGAGCATTAGAGGCTTACTAAAGAAGGGGAGGGCTACCAAAGGGCATCACCTGGAGATCAGTTTTAAAGCATCTTTCATTATACCTATGTAGACCCTTTTACATAGTTAGGTTGCGAAAGTCCAGCCAGTACAACCAAAAGAAAAATAAATAAATTAATGTATACCTATATGATCCATTGCTGTCAGACTTAACTCTGCAATGAAAATGACAGTTAGACAATGAAAGTTTGAATCTGACTGCTGAAAGATCTTTCTATTTAAAGAATCCATAAATATGGCCCCTAGTGTTAGTTTTATCACAGGGAAATAATAGTAATGGTCTCTGAAGATCTATTTCAATTGTTTCCCCTCTGAGATTGGTGGGTTTGTGGATGCCTGTAAAGGTTACAGGGTATCTCCTGATCTGACTATTGTTGGATAGATTGGCACAATCTAAGGCTGCCCAAAGATTAAGAGTGTTGTCCGATGTGTAGGCAGTAGGAGGATGGAGGAGGAGGATGGAGGAGGAGGATTGAGGAGTAGGATGGAGGAGGATGGAGGAGGAGGAGGATGGAGGAGGTGATGCAGGCAGATATTGCCAGTGGCACCTATTTCATGGGAGGTGGTTATTTTGCTGGCTGGTGGTTAAAAGGCAAGACAGGCTAGCTTGACTTCCTCCTGTCCCCAGCACAGCATACTTACCTTTCCTTCTCTCTTGCTCAATTCCACTATCAGGAGAGGAGATAAATATTTCTGGATATAGAGCTTCTCAGTGATGGTGCTTGGTAACTGGCCCAGCACTGTCACATGGGGAGGGGAAAGAGTCCTTAGCAAAGCATAGATTGACAGGCAACTTTTAGGGTCAGCATGCAAAGTACTCCTTGGAACTGGCACTCTGAATGCATTGTATTCTGTGCAGTCTAAAGTCTACTTATATTGACAGTAAAGTCAAGGCAGTTAAAAAAAACCAAAAAAAAACAATACACTAGATTTATTGCAGTTATGGATTGACAAATATATTTATATATTTACAGTTAATAAATCTCTGCCTTGATATCAGCCTCCTGTAATCCCCTTCATAGCAGCTGTTTAGACTGAGAGTGGAGGAGAAGCATTCATTCCAAGCTTGTCTATTGCACATTGCTATCCATTTAACACATTGAGCATACTAATGACCTCACCAGTGTGCTGCTGCTCCTCCACTGTCCAACCATAGGCTGCGGTTGGTCCCAGACCATACCCAAAGTTGTCTCAGGAAGAACAGCACTACTTTGCAAGGGGTGTTAAGATACCAACACTGGCCGCAGAGCATTACAAATCCTTTGGCAGCCAAGATAGTTCCCATGTACCGTATGTAATTCAAATGTGTTTTTAGTTGTTTGTCTGGAGTTCATCTGTAAATACATACATTTCTATGACATAATTAAAATGGAAGAGGGGCATAAAGGACTAGTAATCGTATCCAGTTACAGGTGGCTAACACAAGACAATGGAATGTAGATGGGAAAAATGGAGACGATGAGGAGCCCACCTATAGCACATTTACAAAGGGTGATTGATTCTTTTGTCTCTCCAAATCCAGGCTAATTCCCTCCAGACTGAAGCATCTATGGCAAATATCACTTGAAATGCTTTGATTTTAAACCAATTCAGCTGATCCTGTTGCTTTGAAGCACATGTATAGGCATTCAAATTGTCACTGCACATCCTGAAAGCATATGTGTGATGTTACATTCTTTTGTCTAGAGCAGACTATTGTCACTAAACAGCAGCGAGGGGTACTGAAATATAAAAAAAAACTAAGTTACTTTCACACAGACACAGATTTTTGTAAGTTACAAACTATTTTGAGGCAGTCAGGCATACTGCCTGTATAAAGAAGAAAAAATAACAGTGGAGCAGCACTGATGATATGGACAGGCTTGGTTGGCAAAATGTTCCATGATTTTAACTGGGACTATGCAGAGCTCGTTCAACATACAATGTGTAGTGAATATGCATAACAGAGGGAAAATGACTGATCAAGATGTTGAATGCTCCTGATTGAAATATTCGAAGCCCCCATGAGTTATAGTTTACTTGCAGCCAAATGTTTTTAGTTTCCCATATGAGGTGGATGAGATAGAAGTTGGCCATACACCAAAAAACTCTAGCATGCTGTTCAGTGTGGATCGAGTCTCATTATGTGCCCATTATATCCTGACAACCAGCAATCAAAGGGCGCTGATTGAATGCAGTCACTGATCAACCAAACATTTTCAGTCTGGTTCCTTCAAGATTCAGATTGAAGTATATCGGGCAGAGGACAGCCAACATGGCCACCCACAGAGCGAATTTCAACCAGTTCATAAAGAACCAGACAAAAATGGCTCCGCGTATGGCCACATTTAGTTCCTGTCCCAGTAAAAAGGTTTTCACGCTGACAGGATGTGAGGCAAAATATCTCAAGAGGACCTGTGTTCAGTCTCAGCCACTGAGTGGCGTCACCCTTTGAAGGTTAACTCTTGTCTCACTGATGTAGCTGTGTAAGGGTGCCAGCAGCTAGAGAGAGCCTGAAACTGACCACAGGTCAGTAGTATGCATCTGTGCCTGGCAGCTTAGGCTACAGGACAGTAGAGGTAGGTTAGGTTTCCAATAATGTTTAGTTCCAGTTTTGTCAGAATTAGGTGACCGTAGTGCTGCTATAAGCACTGTAGTACTTCAGCAAAACCTACCTGAGCCTATAGTCAACAGAATGTGGATAAAGAAGAGTATGTTGGCTAAATTGCCAAAAGCCAGTACTGTACTTCCAATGTATGAGAGCAGCATCAAAGTAAAACTTTTACAGTCTGTGTTTTAAATGTTTTCCTGTCTGGCCAACTCTGACAACTTGGCCCTACTCCAAATGATCGATCCTGGTCTGACCTTTACAAGACTTGGTCATACACTTTCATGAACAAGCCAGCATTAAGAGATTTGATAGTAAAGGGTTTTGAGTTTAGGTGATACCCTTTTTTGGTTTACGTGTTTTTGTCTCTAAAGTTTGGCAGCAAACTTGGCATGACACCTACTTTATTGGTGTTTCATGTCTATCTCTATAGGTTAACTTACCTCTATAGGTTGAACTCGATGGACATGTGTCTTTTTTCAACCTGACTAAATTTTTAACTATGTAACTATGTTCCCAAGCACATAGCATAAAAAAAAAGTGCAGCTTACCTTTTTTTAAGATGCTCTTTCTGCTTACTCCAAGACTGAGTAATTCTGCTCAGTTCCCACTGTCTGGGGGGATGGGGGGAGTTTTTTTTTCCAAATAATTAACCCTGTCTGTACTGTGCTGGCAGATTTAATTACCCCTTGTAAACTAGATAAACAGTATTGTCTGTTTTAATAATGGATTAAAGATCCCGAGACATTGTATGTTATTGAGATTGAGCTCAGCCTGTCAAAAGTCTCACTATTAGGACAGACAGAGTTTCCTGTTACTAAAATTGAGAGAGAACCTTGCAAAGGCTTGCTAAATCTGGACATCTAAAAGGTAAGAAATATATATTAAAAATATATTTTTTAGGTATGCTGTGTGAATGGGAACACACAAGAAACAAATAGTAGGATTTTCCACACTGGTTTTGCGAAATATGGACACTAGAATTTTTTCTTAAATCGTTATTACGTATAAAGCATGTGCAAATAAAAATCCTGAGACCCCAAGAAGCAGGGCTGTTTTAGGACAATATATAATATGTACTGGATGACTAATGGTACCATACCACCTACAGTCATCAGTTAATGCAGAATTTAAAGTATGAGAAGCAAAAATAATTTATGAACAAACTATGGGTTTTTAAGCATGTTTCTAAATTTTTAACATGCTTCTAAACATTTATAACAGAACTACAGAAATGCTGTTCCGGAATATTGTCTTCATAAATCAGCAGTGCTATATATTTGTTTTAAATATTTGACATGCTGTGTGAATTGGAACACATGACAAAACTATAGTGGAGGTTTCCTCAATTATGACTGCAAAAGTGTAAATGCGCTTTAAGTTATTGCAGATCCAAGCTTTCAGTATGCCTTAGATGCTTTTTTCAGGATGCGATTCTTAATCAAAATATTTATAGATCCAAAGCAAGTTATACTGCTGGGTCCCCTCCTCCCTCGTGCAACTGTTGGACTCTCGATCCATGACCGAGTGCCCAGCTTTTCAGAGGGGGTAACACCAAAATGACTGTGAGTGAGGGGTTATAGAGATAAGGAAGGGAGGAGGGAGATAAGGAGAGTTATGTGTTCTTTGTAATCTATCAGAAGTGAAGTAGGCAGGGCTGACACCATAAGCTTAGAAATTCATAGCTGAGCATACACTGGGGGGAATTTATAATAGCAATTGCAAATGTTTGAACTTGCACAGAATATATTTGATGTACTTTGCGCAAGATTTATGATGCTAGTGTAATATTATTATGTGGCAAATAAGTTGCGCTCGGTCTAGTTGTGAATGGATGTGAAAGTGCTCTCTCAAAACCCAAAGGGGGAGATCACCTTCAGATAATAGTGTAATATTGTTCATAAATGAGGTTTAATAGATTCCAGGAAAGAAGACTTGTAACTCCAGGCAAAAAGCTTAACTGTCACTTCTTGAAGAAGTGGTCATGGGGACTGTAATTGTTTT